GGCTGCGGGCCAGCGAGGAGGCCGTGGCGCAGCTGGAGGAGGAGAAGAGCCACCTGGAGTTCCTGGGGCAGCTGCGCCAGTACGACCCCCCTGAGGAGAGCCAGGTGCGCGGCCGGGCCAGGCGACCAGCACGTGCTAGGGCCCCGGCCCTCCTTAGATACCCATGGCTCCCCATTCGCCATGGGGCCCAGTGTCCTAGGCCCTCAAAGACCGCCCCCAACCCACTGGACTTCCGCAGAAGCCCTCAGCTGTTCCTGCAGATCCTCACCAAGCCCTCGGGACACCCCGAGGCCCCTGACCACCACCTCCCTCACACCCTGGGGTTCAGGACCCCCATCCCTGAAACTGATTCCCAACCCCGTGACTCCCCACGTCCTGTCCTCTCCGCAGCAGCCTGAGTCCCCCCGCCGCCGAGACAGCCTGGCCTCCCTGTTCCCCACTGAGGAGGAGGAAAGGAGAGGTGGGTGTGGGTCCGTGTGACGGGGAGCTCAGCCATGGAGGACGAAAGGCTGAGCTGGGGAGGGATGCTGGACCCCGAGGCCCTGAGCAGGGGGTGGGGGGTCAGGCAGGGTGTCAGGAGGACGGAGCAGGTGGCCGTGGGGGTGACTGCGCGGTGAGGCTGGGCGGGAGGTGCCTGCGTTCACATCCCAGGGGCCTGGGATCCCAACCTCAGAAGGCAGTGCAGGCCCATGGCCCCAGGGGCAGCTGTAGCCCTGGGGGGTGGGGGCGTGTCCCTCGTGTGAGGCTGAGGGGACAGGAGGCCTGCAGTGACTAGGTACCTGCCACCCCCAGGTCCTGAGGCGGCGGGGGCCGCGGCGGCGCAGCAGGGGGGCTACGAGATCCCGGCCCGCCTTCGGACCCTGCACAACCTCGTGATCCAGTACGCGGGCCAGGGCCGCTATGAGGTGGCCGTGCCGCTGTGCCGCCAGGCCTTGGAGGACCTGGAGCGGAGCTCCGGCCACTGCCACCCCGACGTGGCCACCATGCTCAACATCCTGGCGCTGGTGTACCGGTGAGCCGAGCCGGCTGTGCCCGAGGGGCCGCAGGGGCCGGAGCCACTGTCGGGCGGAAGAGGGGATCCTGGTGTCGGCGTGGGGTACTGGAGTGGTGGTGGGGAGGGGGACAGATCTGGGGAGGCCGCGTGGACCCAGGCAAAGAGGAGTCAGTGAGTGTGGGTGACAGAGACCCCAACAGAGTGGGGACGATTCCTGGGGTGGCCAGAGGCTGGGCAGTGCTCTGGAGGTGCTAGACCTAGTAGGCGTGGGGAGACCCAGAAGGGACCCCAAAGGGTGCCACTGTGCCTGGTTCAGCCTGGCCCCTGCTCCCCCACCCTGGCTGACCCCTCCATCCTTGCGCTGCCCCACAGGGACCAGAACAAGTACAAGGAAGCCACAGACCTGCTCCACGACGCCCTGCAGATCCGGGAGCAGACACTGGGCCCCGAGCACCCCGCGGTGAGTGGGGGCCCGGGAGGAAGGAAGGGCCGGGGCTGTGCCTTGCCCGCTCCTGACCTGCCTCCCTTGGCCCTGCAGGTGGCTGCCACCCTCAACAACCTGGCCGTCCTCTATGGAAAGCGTGGGCGGTACCGGGGAGGCGGAGCCCCCTGTGCCAGCGCGCCCTGGAGATCCGTGAGAAGGTCCTGCCCTTGCCCAGCGCCCTGTTCTGAAGCCCCCTCCCGTTTTGACCCTGAAATGTTCAATTCTGTGGCTCTGTGGCCCCAAACCTGTGAGCCCTGACCTTTTATGCCCGCCTCACTGGGTGCTGTGAGCTAACAATTTAAGCCTAGAGCACCCATTCCCAGGAGCCACCATGCTTGACCTCCATTTGACCTTGACTCCTGACTCTGACCTCTCCTAACTCACCTCTGTGCCCCAACCTGGTACACCCCCTCCTTGATAGAGTCATTTGAACCTGCATCCCAAGGTCCAGGTGGTTTCTGAACCACCATGACCTCTGACCCGATGAAGCTCCAGTTGGGTGTAACTTCTGCCCAACCCCGTGCAATTCTCCACTTGGATGCTGTAACCCCCAACGCGTGACCCCGGTGATGGCTGCTGGCGTCACGCGGCCTGCCCATCCCGGATGACCCCTAGGTCCTGGGCGCCGACCACCCGGACGTGGCCAAGCAGCTCAACAACCTGGCGCTGCTGTGCCAGAACCAGGGCAAGTTCGAGGAGGTGGAGCGGCACTACGCCCGGGCCCTGAGCATCTACGAGGCCCTGGGCGGGCCCCACGACCCCAACGTGGCCAAGACCAAGAACAACCTGGTGAGGCCCTGGGCGGGGGGACTGCTCCCGGATCTGTGCAGGATGGGAGGCAGAGGCCAGGAGCCCCCTCGCCAGGCCCGTGGAGAAGGGGCTCCTGAGACCCCAGCTGGGCCCGGGCTGGTGAGACCGGAAGCGGCAGGAACACAGGTCTGGTGCCAGGGAACAGCCCAGGGAAAGAAGCTGGAGACGGGCTGGGAACAGTGACAGCACCAGGCGTTTATTGAGCTTGGATCCCGTTAGTGCTTCCCCTGCACCATCCATTTGCTGTTTGTTAATCCTCACCTGAGGATATATTTGCCATTGTTTTTTTGTGTGTGTTTTTTTAAGAGAGAGTGGAGAGGGAGGGAGGGAGGGGGGAAGAGAGAGAAAGAAAGATCAGTGTGAGAGACACATAGGCATCAAATCTGCAACACAAGCACGTGCCCTTCACCGGGAATTGAACCCGGACCTTTCGGTGCATGGGCTGGTGTTCTAACCACTGAGCACACCAGCCAGGGCCGCACCACCCATTTCTCAAAGGACTCTGGGAGGTAGGTGTTCTTGTGGCCCCATTTTGCAGATGAGGAAACAGAGGCACAAAGGAGAGCAGGGAACAGGCTGAGCCAGGAGGCCCCCTGCCCTGGTCACTGAGGCAGGAAGTGGTGGGGCCGTGAGCTCCGCTGTAGGCGAGGCCTGGGTGGGAGCGGCCGGGCTGTGCCTGGTCCAGTGTGGGAGCTCCCGGAGCCGAGATCACCCGGCCACGCCCCCCGCAGGCCACAGCCTACCTGAAGCAGAACAAGTACCAGCAAGCGGAAGAGCTATACAAAGAAATCCTCAGCACGGAGGACCTGCCCGCTCCTCTCGGTGAGCCCCCGTCCCCCTGCCCCCCACAGGGGCTTCTCAGTGTCCCCACCACAATGCCCCCGTCTGTTCCCCAGGAGCCCCCAGCACAGGCAGAGCTGGTGACGCAGAACAGCAGGTGAGGACGGGCTTTGCTTCGGCTCCCGGGGTGGGAGTGGGACTGGATGGGACGTGGGGACTGACGTGTCCCCGGCGCCCTCCCAGACCCTTCGCCGGAGCAGCTCGTTCTCCAAGCTCCGTGAGTCTATCCGGCGTGGAAGCGAGAAGCTGGTCTCCCGTCTCAGAGGCGAGGGGGCGGCGGGAGCAGCCGGGTGAGTGTTGGATCAGGTCAGTGAAGAGCCCTGATAGCTGCAGCTCCCCCTGTCCTGCTCAAGAACCTTCCATGGCTCCCATCTCCCCTTGGCATACAGTCACACCTGGTGCTGGAGAGGTCTTCCCAGGGCGGGAGCCAGGCCCTCCCAGACTCACTCGCTCCCTCTGCAGGATGAAGAGAGCCGTGTCCCTCAGCACGCTGCACGCGGGTGGTGCCAGGGCTACTGGGGCCCAGGTGAGGGGAGACAGGGGCACCTGGTCAAGGATGGAATGGGGGTCCAGGCTGACAGGCAAGGGGAGGGAGGGGACAGGCTGGTGTTGGGAGCCAGGGGTGGTAGGTGGGAATGGACCAGAGGACAGAATGGATGGATGGGCTTTACTTGGGGGTCAGGTAGGGGATGGACATGAGGTACAAGAGAATGAGCAGTACAGCCGCTGCAGTGGACAGGCTGGCAGTCAGGGTGGGGTAGCTCTAGTGCAGCTGGAGCAGGTGTGTCCTGCCCTCGCCTTCCCATCAGCCACCCCTTGTGTCTGTCCCCAGTTCCCCAACCGGCACCTGAGTGAGGCCTCTCGGACCCTCAGCGCCAGCACCCAGGACCTGGGCCCCCGCTAAAGTCCACAGGACCACGTGCCTGCAGCTTCCTCGAGAGGGGAGTCCTTTCATCGCCTTGCCTGGGACACCCCGTGTACTGGGCTGCCCTCTCCTCTATTAAAGTTTGTCGATCTGGCCGCCCAGAATGTCTGCTTGAGGTCTCCGTCCTGCACAGGCCTTCCCGCGCCTCCCGGAGGCCCCTCCAAGCCCCAGGACCGAGGGCCAGGCAACACTCGCATTCGCAGGAACTCCTTTTATGGCCCTGCCCCACCTCGCGCTACAGCTGCTGTGCAATCTGCTCGATCCTCCGCAGCGTCTCCTCCGACTCCAGCTGCTCCAGGCTAAGCAGGGACAGGCCCAGCTGATCCTCCTGGCGGGCAAGGACAGGAGGGTGAGGCCAGGGGCTCAGGCACCTGCCCACGGTGGACACACGCTGGCGTCTGAGCCCTAGACTCCCAGCAGTTCCCAGGCCGGGCGTGTGGGCGCGCACAGACCTCCCTTTGTGGCGGGCAGGCTGGGTGAGGGCGTGGGGAGGAAGCCGACCTTCCCGGAGCAGCTTCGTGTGGGAGGCTAAAGGGAAGCAGGGCGGGCCCCTCCAGCTCACCCTGTGGAACGGCTGTGCCATCTGCCTCAGGAAGTACTTGGCCACCTGGACCCCCTCGTCCACGGTCAGGTTGAGGTTGGCGTCCGTGAGGTGCTCCTGGATCCAGCGAGGCAGCTTCCCCCGCTTGTCCGCCCGGGCAAACCGCTTTGAGCAGGAGGCGGGAGAGAGGGGGAAGGTGTCAGGACCCTGGGACGATGATGAGGGGAACAGCCAGGCTGGGCGGGCCCGACCCCCACCTTGTCAGCGAAGACCATGAGGCCGTAGTCGGTCTTGCCCCTGATGGCCCGACCCACACACTGGGCCGCGTGGCGCATGGCGTCGAAGGTGAGGAAGTCGTTCTCTCGGATCTGGAACTGGTCCCGCAGGTACTCCAGCCGCGCCTGCGGTGAGATGGGGCCGGTCCCTAACGCCTGTCCCTCTGCAGCAGCCCCTTCCCCGTGCAGATCCTGGGGGAGCACCCAAAAGGCGCCCTCACATCCTGCGCCCCCAGGCGCTGCTCACCTTGAGGATGCGGCTCTGCGTGTAGACGTAGGGGACGCCAAACATGATGACGGCCCGCCCGAAGTGGTGCACTGTGTGGGGGGGCAGCGAGAGGGGTCACCCTGAGGCCAGCCGGAGAGAGCCACCCTCAGGCAGCCCCGGAGTGGGAGGCGTGGGGGTGCTCCGAGGGCCCCACCGGCACCCAGGGAGGGAGGGAAGGGAGCCCCTGGGCGTGCCCAGGCTGTGGGCGTCCCCTGGGGCAGCAGAAATGGCCAGGGCTCCAGGAAGGCTGCGGGGGAGGGGAGAGCCTAGTCTCCTCACCAAAGTCGATTCCCTCGGACACTTTGCCTCGAGCCACTGAGAGCAGGATGGCCCCACGGCCGTTCTCGCAGGCCTGCGGAGGGGAGGCCAAGACAGAGGCACGGCCCCTCAGAGCTGTCCCTCCCCCGTCCCCCCTCCTTTCAGCTCCCCCCTCCCCCGGCCCAGCCTCACCTCCTGGTACTTCTCCAGGGCCACACTGGTCTCAGCCCCGTCTTGGGTCTCAATGAAGAGCAGCTTGTTCCTCTGGATGTTCTCGAGGATGCCCTGAAGGACACGCGGGTCAGTGCGGCCGGCAGGAGGGTCACGCTCTCGGGCGTCCCTGCTAAGCTCGGCTCTGCCCGGGCTTCCCGGGCTACAGACCACTTCTCTCCCCCGCGGAGACCCAGCAGGGAGGGCGGTGGCACCGCGGCCTCCTTTCAGGAAACCTGTGATCCTGGCAGGGAACCGTCCCCACACCCAACTTTTGGACAAGTGGGGCAGGCATGTGGCCCAAGACAGCCAGTCGGGACCCTCCCCGCCCAGCCACTGACTGTGGAGACACGATTTCACATGTGACAGACATTGTAATAGAGACCTGTGGCCAGGACAGACACAGAGACAAGGGGACAGGACAGAGGGCTGAGAAACATCCCCCCACAGATGGTCACCTGGAACCCTCAGAGGGGAGGAGCTGGGGCAGCCGGATTTCCATGTGGGAAAAACAGAACCT